GTGCTTCGTCTTCTTCTCGCAAAACCATCGCATAGAAGGTCTTTTTCTTCGGACAGTCTCGGATCAAGTGAGGACCATCACACAAGTAGCACTTGATCTCCTTTCGCTTTTCTCTTCGGTTTCTTCCTTCGATTTCTTTTCCTTTTGTATTTAAAGTTTGGGATGTGTTTTTTTTTGTTCCAGTTCCGTCATAGTTTGTTCTCCCCCACTATTCTTTTTAACCGTGCTTTCTTTTCGAAATTCCATTAGATCTTCTGCCATGGCAATAGCTTCGTCAATGTCTTTGGCATTTCTCCTTTTGAGCTCGTTGTAGGACCAAGATTGTAGTCCATCCATGAAATAGAAAAGTTTGTCCTTCTCCTGCATGTCAGGTAACTCTAGCATCAAGGTCGTGAACTCGACTATATAGTCTCCGATGGATCCCGTATGCTTTAGTCCACGAAGTTTCTTCATCGCTATGTCTTCAACATTGTGTGGGCAGAATTGTCTCTTGAGTTGCCTCTTGAATTCTTCCCATGTGTCTATGGTATATAATCCTTTTTGAATATTACCATGCTTCCTTCGCCACCATAGAGCTGCACTCTCGCATAGATAAAGTACGGCTGTATCTACCTTCGTCTTGTCGTCCTTCACTTGACTAGCATTGAAGTAGCATTCCATCGACCAAAAGAATTCATCAAGTTCTTTGGGGTCGCGTTTACCTCCATACTTCAATAGTCTGGGTGCTTCTATGTGCGGAAATGTTCTTGCAATGGTCCCTCCAGTGATTGCTGCCTTGCACAGGGTTACTTCGGCTTGTAATGCATCTACCTTCTCACGGAACTCGCTCCGCAGAGTGTTAATAAGTCCAAGGACTTCTTCCTTGATGACACCGATGGTCTCCTTCAATCCATCGCTCGTGTCACTTATCTCGGCAACGAACTGATCGACGGTATCCTTCCATTCAAGGATCTCACCGACGTTAATCTCTGTCCTTGTAAGCTTGTTCTCTAGGCTTTCCAAGGCATCTATCGATTGGTCCCTCTTCCTGGACTTTCTTCCTTTCTCCTCGACGACAGGGGGCAGGCTTGCGACTTCACTACCTCCTGCTTCCGTAGTCATGATCTCTTGCTTGTACAAACTCCGGCTCTGATACCACGTGTCACGAGATGCTTCAATCACCGTGTGCCACTTAGTATTTTCTCCGACTAAGTCAGGCTAACTTCGACGATCTAGATGTACTAACGAACTTAGGAAGCAAGAGTTACGACAAGGGACACTTCAATAAAGCTTCTATTATATAACTCAACTTCTTTACAAGGCAACTTCTTGATGGTTTTGACAAATGAGTCCTCTCCCTATTTATAGGAACCTTACACCTCCTCAAATGGAAGTTTCTAGGTCCTGATCATTCATGACTAATCTAGACTCTTCCTATTATATACATGGATTTTACAAGACTCTAGAATATTGTAAACTTGTATACGATGCTCTAGGAATCTCTAAGTCTTCCCGACATTATCCAAATCGTTCTTGTATGATCTAGCGTGTTCTAGATCCTTCCAAAGTCTTCTGGGTCGTTCTAATTTCTTCTAGTGCCTTCATCATTTATTCCGGATCATTCTCCTTAATTCCATGGACATCTATAATATTCTAGCACCTTCCAGGGTCTCGTAAAGCATTCTTGATTTCTCCGGAGATTTCTCGAGTATACTTGATCGTTCCAGAGCTCTCTAGACGATTGTAGAATTTTCTAGAAACTTGGTCCGTGACAAAAGGGTCTCCATAAGCTTAGATTTGCCCTATTCCAGTGTAATATGTGTTGTAGGTTCATAAAATCCAATCTTAGACGTGAATATTAAGTCATGCATGAGATATAGGCTTAATGAGGAAAGAGGAAAGGTGTTTAGAGTGACTGGAGACCTTTACAGCCATGCAAAGGCTTAAAGGTTTCGACTTTTATGGATTAAGTGGCCTTAGAATAGTCAGATCTGGAATTTGAGCTTATGTCTTAACCCTTTATTAACAAAAATCAATAAGAGCATGAAACTGAGACTTACGCTGGGCGTAACTCTCAAAATGCGTCGCGTAAGGGTTTGAGACTTAGATTCTGGATCGCCGAAGTACGCCCCACGTACAGGAGCTGGTATGCGCCGTGTACTTCCCTATGTTGACTTTCGTTGACTTTTAGGGTTTGGTCAACAATTAGACATTTAGACCATTGAAGGGGTAAAATGGTCTTTTCCCCCTTCTAAGAGATTATAGAAATGGTTTAGTCTAGCTTTTGAGAATCGTGGTTACTTAGAGGTAAAATACTTTATGTGATTAGGCAGAGGCTAGATTAGAATTTCGAGTTCGAGACTTTCTGAGATTTCCCGAGGTGAGTCTTCTCACTATACTTTACCTAGAGTGGTAATCAAATTTATGTGACAGAGTATCTAGTATGGTTTTTGTATGATGTGATTTCTATGTGATTTGTGCTATGTATGATTCAGAGTTTACAGAGTTAGGACTGGAAGGTCCACAGAGTTAGGACTGGAAGGTCCACAAAGTTAGGACACACAGTTAGGACCAGGAGGTCCACAGAGTTAGGACCAGAGGGTCCACAGAGTTATGGGACTGGTGGGTCCCACTGAGACACATTGACCAGCGGGTCATACAGAGTTATAGCCTCGAGTGGCTAATATTTGTTGTATGTGGTATTATGGGGAACTCATAAGCATTTGTGCTTACAATGTTATGTGTTACGTGTTTCAGGTACTAGCGAGGATCGCGGGAAGGTGCCGACATGATCCGTACACACAGACAGAGGATTGTATTTTGTGATCTTGGGATATGTTTTATTATGATGACATTTTTTGAACATGAGATTTGAGAATATTAAATGAGTTTTATGTTGTTTGAAAAATGAAAAAAATTGTTTTAATTTTTCACGTCATTACAATCCTAAGGCTCGATTGTCACGTAAAGCTTCGATCTTTATGCTCATGCATGGTGGTTTTGCTCCAATCTACCAATACATGTTCTCACAAGGTGTTAAACTCCATACTCCTTACATGGATGAATAAAGTTAGGACCTTTGGGCTCTAGGGACCTTACATGGTCTAGACATGAGGTTTAAACCTCTTCATAACTTAGTATGCTTAAAGTCCTAAATAAAATGGGATGAAAACCCCAATTTCTCAAACTCATGAGATCTAACCAAAAGGGGAAAGATTCAAACTTTATACCTCCCTCTTGATGCTTTGGAGGAAATGGCCTGAACCCCAACAACTCCTTATTATTCGTTCCCGAACAAACTCATCTTCCTCCTCAGAGATGCACTAAAATCCCTCAAGATCAGCTTGGAGACTCTCTTAGCTCACTACACTCGTTTAGGGTTTCACACAGTAAGGTTAAGCAGTTGATGAGCCATAAATGAGGCTATAAGTGTCCTTATATAGGCCCCAAACCCTGTGATTTAGGGTTTCACTGCACATCGTCTACTTGGTGAGTCGACTCTCTGACTCGTCGAGTAGATTATTAATCCCACGTGGCACAACGTGACTCTACTCGACGAGTTGTAGCATCAACTCGTCGAGTTGCTTAATAGTCCTCAAATATAAATAAATAGATAATATACTTGGGAGTCCGGATGTTACATTTTTACATAACTAATTATTGTATATCTAAATTTTGAACATAACTAAAAAAATTAAAAATCTCACAAATCTTGCGAAACTTATAGTTACACAATTAACATTTTGTTGTGAGGAAATAAGGTTTTATATAGAAAAGTCTCATTATTTTGTGAATTTTTTTGATAAAGTATTATTTATTTTTTTTAACAAAAAAGTCATGAGTATTTAATTTTACACGATAAGCTGTCATTTATTATTAAAATTAAAATTATAACTTTTTCATTAATTTAGGTAAAATAGTAAATAATCGAATTTTTTCTGTTCAAATTTTTTTTAGGATTTTATCAACAGTTTTTCCAAAATTATGAGATTTTTCTGCATAAAACCATGAAGAAATATATTTCATAAAATTGAAGTACACATATTTTTCGAAATTGTTTTTTTTTTAATCTAAATTCAAAAACAATAATTTTGTAACTTTTAATTTGGTGAAATAGATGGTTATATTACAACAAAAAGCTAATAAATAGTTATCAATGATGTATATTTTTTTTATTTTTGGTCTAATAAATAGTTATTAATGATGTATATTTCTTATTTTGGTTGAGTCCACAACATAAAGAATAAATCTAAACAATAGATAGAATAATTTATTTTGGGAAATTAAGTAATTTAACCATAATTTAATGTATTAAAAAAAATAACCTAAAAAAATTTATTTTTACTGAAAATAACAATTTCGTTCGGAATGAACATTCTTGACCAAGAAAAAATATTTTTCTTGATGAAAAAAATACATTTTAGAGTGACATTCTGGATTTCGGACCACCTTCTGGATGTTGGACTAAAATTTTGGATTACGCTGAAAAAACTCCGAAAATTTTAAGAACAAATCTGAAATTCGATAAACAATTCCAGAATTTTGAAAAAAAATTTGTTTTTACTTAAATCTAACAAAAAGTTAAACAAACACAACAAATGTCAACTATATTCGATATTAATGTAAAAAATCAGTCAATTTATTGAAAAACGATGACATTAAGCACATCGAAATAAATATTTCAGACATAAATGATTATATTTCCTTAAAAAATAATTATAAGAAAACCAAAAAATACTACTTTGAAATTTGAAAATAAAACTTATGGAGGTTTTTGAACGAAACATTCTATCAAAAAAATATATTTTGAAATATGAAGATAAACAATGGCCAAGAAAAAAACATTGGAAAGAAAATAATTATTTTTCAAAAAAATGAAAAAATAATTATTTATTTAAAAACCTCACTAATACATGTTAGATTACTTAACAATAGCCAAGAATAAAACACCCTTTAAGAACCATAATTTGCTTTATTTGTTCATTGTATCCTTTATTTTATTTATTATGGTTTAAAGAAAACAATGATGTTTATTTTAATATAGAGATACACTATAGAGTATAGATAGAGACAAATACAGGAAAGAGAAGATGGAGATTTAACAGAATTTACTATTTAGAGTGGGTTTCCGATTTAAAATCAAGACCAAACACAAGATATCCTAAATGTTCACCTTCCTTTCTATTGTCTCTCCACAACTGTTACTTCCTTCATGTTCCTAAAAGATTCTTGAAAACTGTTAGCAAATTATGGGAATGAATTTTCTTTCGAAGAATTGGATGATTCCCATTTGGGTTTTGTCCTCTTTAATCGTAGTTTTAGAGCCAACCGAAGCTATCAGGACATACCCTCCTCTTTCCTCCATTGCTGATCCTGTTCTTCCCACCGAGAAAAAGCCTCCATTTTCTCACATACCCACGGACAATGAAGCTCACTCTCCAGGTAAATCTCACTAATTCTTCATAAAAAAAATCGAATCTTCTTTTACGTTTGTGATTCGTCACTGTGAGGTGTAAAACTGTAAATCACACTCCAGTTTTGAACCGATGAATCCCTTGTCAATCTCGAGTAAAATGCACTCCATCTGTTCGATGATATGATTCACCTGTAATACGCTTCTATCATCACCTCTCGATGATATATTTTACGTATAATTTCACCAAAATGGGTTCGCAATCGCAGCGACACTCGCTTTATCTAAACGATTATGTTTAAACAGGAGTATCAGAAATCAAAGTCGTTCACCACGAGGATTTGAACACGACGATTCTTATCGCACTCATCATCGCTTCAACTCTCCTTGCTGCAATCTTACTGTTCTTATTCTGTTTCTGGATCTTTAAACAAAAGAATACAGAACCCCTGAATATGAACAAACCCCCAAAACCCCAAGGTATCTTTAATCTTTTTCCCCGACTAAATCATTCCAAAAAAATTACCTTTTTCTAATATTATCATCACATCATATTCATATAGATTCTTCAAAAGGGTTATCATTAGGTCCAATCTTGGACAAATTTACCCCTACAAGAATCACAACCGGTAGAAAGGGCTCTGCAACTGTTATCGACTACGATTGGTTGATTTCTGCAACGAACGATTTCCATGAAGATCATATCGTTCGTGTAGATTCATCTGGGCATATTTATAAAGCTCGATTCAATGATCATTTTGTTGCAGCTGTGAAAAGAATCCATGGTAGAGGTCCAGATACCCAAAGAGGATTTGAGGTGACAGTTTTAACCTTCGTTAAATTACAATTATACCCTTTTTGAATTTAATTCATTGGGTTCTGTTTACAGAATGCTGTAGATTGGTTAGGCAAACTGAAGCATCAAAATATCATCAATCTTTTGGGTTATTGCATTCATGATGAGAATAGATTTTTGGTGTATGAAATGATGCATCAAGGCTCTTTAGAATCCCAATTGCATGGTAAAGTTTCTTTACTACTTTCGCTTTTCAAGCATAATTCATAAAGGCATAAACAAAAAGAATAATAATAAAAAAAAAACTACTTTTTTAAAAATGAATAGCTTTTCGACTTTTTGTAAGAATGTTTTTTTTTTTTTTTTTATAATACATTTTACAGTTTTGCCATCATTCCATGATTGTTCGTTCTTGTTAAAGGTAGTGATTAATTGATTATTGATTATCTAAAACGATACAAGGTTTTATTAAACATTATTTGTGAAATTACAATTTTAACCCTCTCTTGTTCAATATACCTTTAGGACCTTCTCATGGATCAGCTTTAACATGGCATCGTAGAATGAAAGTTGCACTTGATATCGCAAGGTATCCACATTTATTTTTCAAGATTATGTTTTTTTTTTTTTTTTTAAATCTTTAAATTAATAATTAAAAAAAAAAAAAATTAAACAGAGGATTAGAGTATCTTCATGAACGATGCAACCCACCTGTAATTCACAGAGATCTCAAATCATCAAACATTTTGCTAGATTCCAACTTCAATGCTAAAGTAAGATCCTTTATAATAAATATTTATCAATAATCTATTATAATTTAATTTCTATATCTAATTGGATTAAATAAAAATTCAGATATCTGATTTTGGACTTGCTACAACTGAGTTTCATGTCAAAAACAAAGTAAAGCTATCGGGAGCTTCAGGTTATGTGGCCCCTGAATATTTATCAGATGGTATGAATTATGATTATGATTTAATAATATAAAATCGTAACCTTTTAATTAAATTATTCTTTTTTAAGATTATTAAATAATGTTGTTATAGGTAAACTCACTGATAAAAGCGATGTGTATGCGTTTGGAGTTATACTTCTCGAGCTTTTAATAGGGAAAAGACCTGTGGAGAAAATGTCACCTTCGTTATTTCAATCTATTGTCACATGGGTAACGATTTTATTTTATGTTAATGTTAATGTTAATGTTAACATAACTTATTTATTAAATGAAAAATCACAACATATTAATTTGATAAACAGGCAGTTCCTCAACTAACAGATAGATCAAAGCTTCCAAACATTGTTGATCCTGTGATTAGAGATACAATGGACTTGAAGCATTTATATCAAGTTAGTATAATATATTTAAAAAAAAAAAAAAAAGTTAAAGTCGATTTTGTTTTTTAATTTATTTAACATTTTAATGAAATTATAGGTTGCTGCTGTAGCTGTGCTTTGTGTTCAACCTGAACCGAGTTACAGGCCATTGATAACAGATGTATTGCATTCTTTCATTCCATTGGTTCCTGTTGAGCTTGGAGGATCATTAAGAGCTTAAAAAACTATGTAAATGACCGTTTTACCCTTAAACTTTTAAATGAACATTTTACCTTTACGTTACAAAAAAAAAAAAAAAAGTTTCGTGATGTTAAATTTTAACCACGAGAAGAATGAGAAATATGGTTTTATGAATTTAAAAAAAATTGTACGCTTCTTTTCATGTAGTTAAAATTTTAAATATCTCATACGTGAATTTTGTTAAAATATTTGTAGGAAACTCGTGAACATTGGCTCCATGTCATTTATCATTTTGGGTATCTAATGATGTTATTGTGGGTGCTACAATAGCTGTGTGTTATGAGGTACGAGTGTACCTTTTGTACACGTGTCAAAAAAATATGATCTAGAGATGTGAAGAGAGGGGTCATACGTCATAGTAATAATTTTTTTGGAACAAGAGAGTACGATGTACATGAGTTAACATTTAATGTAATAGAAGAGTAGAAGAAGTAGTACATTGGGCTCTTTTGTGTTTTTTATTTTATGTACAGGTCTAAAAAACATCCTCTCGTTATGCGAATTTTAAGTGGGTTTTTCATTTTTGTTTTGAATTAGTGGATTGAAAGCTCCATGTTATCACGTTGGATTTTCTGTCACATGATTTGATTTGGATAGATTTTGTGAAATCTAGTGTGTGGATTGGATTTTGTGTGATTTTGGTTATGGGTCGCTTTCGGGTCAAACTCGAACCAGATGTAATAATGGTTTGAGATTCTGTTGTTGTACTTTCAACAAGCTTTAACTTGATCGGTTTGATTTACTTTCGTTTGGATGGTGTTAGTTTCATGTGGTTTGTAGTAACATGTTTTTGGTGTTTTTTGAGATATACATTTCATGTGTCTAAAACAAAAAAAATTTATGTAATGATGGTGAGTATGTTATTTTTTTATACATTCAAGTAGATGTGCCAAGGACTTTGCTTGGATGCTATGATTATGTTTGGCAAAGTAAGGGTAAGTTACATCCTTTCTTGGGCAAGCTAGTTTTATATGATCAGTTTCTTCACATCCATAACAAACAATGGATTCCTTGTCTATTTTGCATTGATCCGGATGATTCCTTTCACAAACACGACATGAAGGCGATTGAATAGAAAAAGATTGTGACCTGCCGCGGCCACGAAAAGCACTCTGAGATTGTGCTTGCTTGCTAGGATCAGTTCGAACAGATTGAGCTGGTGGAATAGTGTAAACATGATTAGTTCTTTCAGTATGTAGATGCTTCGGAGCAGTAAGAGTGGCTCCACGTATCTTTAAATCATGCTCACGCCTTCGAGCATACTCAACAGCTTTATCAAATGACAGAACATCCCGATTGGCTACAAAATCATGGATTTCATGTCGTAGTCCTTCTAAGAATAATTGAATTTTTTCGTCCTCAGTTGGAATATACTTTGCAGCAAACCGTGCTTTTTGATTGAACTGAGTTTCATACTCATTCACAGTCATTTCTCCTTGTTTAAGCTCGAGGAATTCCTTTTCCAATCTTCTCCTCATATCTAGAGAACAATACTTCTCTAGCACACGAGTTTTGAACAACTCCCAGGATAAATTCTCCTGGTCATATCCATTGAGAGCTTCATATGTTGCTTCCCACCAGACCAAGGCTTCTCCGATGAGCATTGCAGAATCATAGATAGCCTTGTCTTCATTATCCACATGAGAGACGCGAAATACTTTCTCGGTGTTCTGAATCCAAGTTAGAACAACTATGGGATTAAGGACACCAGAAAACTCCGTAGCACCAGTACTCTTGAAATCTTTGAACGAGGGACGTTTCACCTTTCTGCTTGAAGATTCTCCATTGGCTTTCTCTTTTCCTTTATCACCATTCTTTTTGTGTTCTTCGAGAGTCTGTCGAATAGCACCAGTAAGTTTACCCAAGAGTCGCTCCTCACGAGGAGATACTGGAGTATTCACTTCCTCGGGTTGAGGACCTCCACCGACCTCAGGGGTATGACTACTTGCTTGTTCAACTATCGTTCTGAAATTTAGGAGTAATATAGAATTTTAAAATATTAGGATTTATTAAAGCCTAATACTTCACTTAAGTTTTTCCTATGGTTTGTATCCATATACTTATGATGATTCAGTTCATATATTGAACTTCCAATAGTTTAAGTCTAAATACCAATTCGTGGCATTTAGTTCGCTTAAACTACTGCTCTGATACCATGATTGAAAGACCCCAACTTTTGTATTTCTGAAAGTCCCAAACTTTCATACTTCACAATACTATTACTCCAAAACATGATACTTGCATATTCATAAAAACAATATTTTACATTGATAAAGAGGTTACAAACTATTGGATACAAACCGACTATTACAAAGTGTTATATATTCCATAACTATCCAGGATATTGTAATTTATACAAACATAAACTGAAGTACAAAAGTATTATTACAAACTATTCTAATTCTTTCAACAATATATGATTATACTGGTTACTTATCACCTGCAATTGTTAAACATTGATAGGGTAAGCGGTGACGCTTAGTGAGTTGAATAATAGATACAATATAAAGTTATGTCATGTATATATACTTCAATATGGCAGAAGCAAAGAGAATCAAGGAGCAACAAATGCATATGTGAATCATGTGTTAAGCTTTCCATATCAAACAATGACTTGATTCAAAGGTATACAATCAATTAGACATAACAATTTCCAAACTTGATATACATCAATAAAACTTCGGCCCAAATGGCACAGAAGACATAAGATTTCTGATTAATATCTTGGTAGATTTCAGGCTTATAGTCCTGTCTAACCATTTGCCAATACCATAGAATAGAAGTCATTCTCTTACGGAGACATGCTCTACATGGCCAGAGGTTACGTACCAGTACCAATGTGAATCTAAGTCCTTTCACTGATCACATGGTCAAATGTATTACTTTTGCTATAAAAATAGCGAATAAAATAACACGGGAAAATAACTCGGAATAATAACATTGAAAATCACATAACACATATAAAACATAACATACAGTTATTCCTATATATTAAACTCACCTTGAAATAACGGGGTTAAAATAATAATTTGGGCAACACTTCGGCTCCAAATATGACTTTCTGGGGCGAAACCGGGGTTTTTAGTTGAAAACTGGACTTTACTCGGGCAGAGTTTTGACTTGAAAATAAGATTTTCTTGGGAACTTCGGGGTGTCTGGGCTTGCTTTAGATGTCGGGGATGATACCGGACTTCGAGGGGTTAAAAGTGGGTTAAATGGGTGAAAGAGGGTGTAAAAGAGTGAAAATAAGCAATCATTTCCGGAGACGGTAGACGTGGCTTCTATGTGGCGACCATGCGAAGACGGTAAACGTGGCTGACTCTGGACCGGATACGTGCGAGGTACGCTGGGCGTAGCCTCGTGTACGTGGGGCGTATGGCCTCTGATAAGATTTTGATTTTTCATTTATTTTTATTTAATAACTTCAAAAATTCATATCTTTTGCATACGAACTCCGTTTTTGACGTTATTTATATGCACGCGTAGGTGAGAATATACTCTACAATTTTCGTTTAGACTCCATCGGCTAATTTTGACTTTATTTTTAATATTATTATTTTTAACAGACCGAGACAAGAAAATCCGTTAAAAATTCATAACTTCTTCATCCGATGTCCATTTTCGTCAGACTTTTTACCGTTGTACTACAAATGACGAGATCTTCAATTCTCATTTAAGTTGTATCGGTTAAATATCACTTGATCTAAAATTCGAGTTTTTAGCTGTCTACTGCTAGTCCGAAACTTAGAAAAATCATAACTTCCTCATACGAAGTCAGATTTTTGTGTTCTTTTTATCGAACTTCTCGGTTTAACGAATACTACAACTTTTGATTTAGATCACTAAGGCTAAAAAGTAGTTTATCAAAAACTCACATTTTACGTCATTCGGTGCCGTGTCGGTTTTGTCGCGAATCTTCGATTGGTCATAACTTCTTCGTTATAACTCGGATTTCGACGTGGTTTTCGCCAACAAGTTTCTAACAAGATTATTTACAACTTTCAATAATAAAATTTTACTTATTTCAAATTTTATATTTTCACTAAATTTCATTATTTGACTTTTAATTGGAATCTCATAAGACTTCCAATATTTTCTGAGTGATTCTAAACATAGTTTTACTTCATTGTAGTAAAAACTATCTGTTAGAACTCAACACTCAATTTTACCACTACTAGAAAAAAGGCCTTTTACGACGCGCAAAATACGACGCTCATTGATCTATGTTACGCAAAGAAGAGTGACATTAGAAAAATGTCATCTCTTCAAAAAATTTAAGGATAAAAGGCACGCATTATTGCGCGCCCTTAAATCAGTGTCTAAAAAAAACACGGAGGGCACCTATAATAAAATGCGCGTCGTCTAAGGATGTCGCTTTATAATTTTTAATGGAACGCGCGTTCCATCCTTTAACAGTAGGGGGAAATGAAATTCTGAAAAAATTAAAAATCCCGCCTTCCTTTTTTTCTCCTTTCCCTCTTGCCCAAATTATGGACGCTCCTTCCTTCCCCCTCCCGACATTGACTGCTGCCTACTTCTTCCCTCACTTCTACCTACTGGAACCACCATATCTCCCACTCGATGTTGAAATTGTTAGAAAAAGCCCTAATTATACTCTCAAGTCTAAATACAGAAAAAATAGAAGATGGTGAAGAAGTAGCAGTAGAGGAAGTGGAGGATGAACAGTCGAAAATGGAAGGAATGGCATCAATAGCGTTGTTACTAGATGGGTCAATCTCGGGTCATTTTGTTCAGCTTCCCGAGTCCGTTTATTACCAGATGGGTCAATCTCGTCTTTTCGTCTCGACTTCATATCTCTCTGTAAAGCAACCGACGACCCCCACACCACCATCTGCAAACCCTAAGCCATTGTCACTACCATTGAACCCTAAAAACTCATTCACACTCCACTAGATTGGGCTCCAGCGGTGACTCCTACTCTACCTCCCGTCTACCATAATTAGGAAATCCTAGAAATTAAAAAACCCTAATTTTGTCGATTTAGGGTTCGGACTTCGTTCCATCTCTCAGTCTCCGCCATTCTTGCCAACTGGTGTTGCAACACTGTTGTCACCATCTATCCCATCACCCACCACAATCGAAGTTGATGAAACCCTACCTCCTCCTGCTTCCAACGCCTCAAAATGGATTGTACATGTCGACGTTGCTTGCGTTTATTATCCTATTTCTCTCAAAATAAAATCGACCCAAAACCCTATTTCTTGTTGTTCAAATTAATTTCAATGTTGAACCTTCGAATTCATAGTTTGAAGAAAAGATATTAGAAACTATGTATCAGAATCCAGTAGTGGTGGTAATTGGTGAGAACGGTTCATGGAAAAGAACTCAACTCCCGTAGATTTTACACAGAAATGGCTAGACGAAGACCAGAACCATCACAGTCACCCATCCCCATTGTGTCGCTGTCATCTTTATTTCTAGGTATTCATATTGTCACAGATAGAATCGGACCTTAATTTTTACCTCTCATGTGGTTGTCAATTACGTTTAAATGGTTACTTCCCAATATTCTTTTTCTTTTTATTTACTAGTTCAGAAGGTTTTCTTAAAGTGTTGACAGCATTGGCAAATACTCTTCCCCTTATCCATCACAAAGGTATTTCTTATTCGTTTTTTTTTGTTTTCTGATTTTAGCAGTGGGAAAAACATGGAGGAAGTAGCTGTGGTTGTTGAGTTGATTACAAAGCTTCATGAAGGTAATATCTTCTGCGGGAAAACATGAGTTTTCTTTGAATGTTAAAACTGTTATTGGGTTCCAAGGGTGTGAAGAGGATGTGAAAATCATTTCAACTGTAATTGGAATTGAGAGTGGATATATTGGTTTTCTAGCTAGACCTCAAAGAGAAAATGTGGCTCTAACAAGAGCAAGGTTATACATAATTAACTTTACAAAGAAAAAAATTCAAATATTTATGCCTGAAGAAATGATTTAATCTGTTTATTCTCTGCTTCATCAGATTAATGACCATATTTTTATTTTTATTGTTTTTGTAGGCAGAGGAGCTAGCTGAGGTTAAAAAAATGATAAAAACCCCTGATTTTTTCAACAAGCTTGTTGATAGTATGGCCCCTACTGTTTTTGGTCATCAATACATCAAGCGAGCAATTCTGCTTATGCTTTTGGGTGGAGTTCATAAGTTCACCCATGAAGGGATCAATATCGGGGGGGGGGGGGGGGGGGGGCATTAATGTTTGTATTGTTGGAGATCCAAATTGTGCTAAATCTTAGTTTCTCAAGTAAGCATATCTATTTAAATCTTGTTTTATATATAATATGTGCAGAGTTTGACAATTTTTTTTCTTTTTCTTTTGTGGGTACACAACAACCTTAGTTTCAAGATCTTTTTACACATCTGGGAAATCTTCCTATGTTGTTGGATTGGCAACCACTGTTGCAAAAGAACCAGAAACCGGAGAGTTTTGTATCGAGATACTAGTTCTGTAAACTAAATACTAAAACTGATGATATATACATTATACAAAGGACTTTAATGTTTCCTTCCAATCAAGCATATGATATATACATAAATCTTAAGACGGTTGTTTATGACGATTTTTTGCATAATTTTTAGTTTTACCCTTTCTTAATTATATTTTTTGCATTTGCACAAGACATGACTTTCTCAGTAAAATAGACGGAAACTAATTAACATCACATTTGCATGCCGATTTGATGTTTACATGGATTATCAACTTTTTGAGCATCAGGTGAACACTATAACTCATGTTTTCAGTTCCACTCATGAGGGTATAACTGTCTTTTTGCATCACTGCAGATTCATTAGTTTTCCACATTCAATTCATTTACGATGGTTATCTTCTTGACTGGATTGGTGTCGATGATTTTAATAAGCCCCCAAACATGCTAGTTTACAAAAGAAGGAAACACAGGGGTAAACTGGTCACAAACCCAGAGGACATGGTAACATCTTGATAAATTTATCAAGTAAGTCTTCCTTAGGGTAGCTTAAAGCTAAAAAAAATTCCTTAAATATGTTAGTTTATGATATAATTTTAATTTCATGGGTGTGCTTTTAGGGCTTAAGGCTTTAAGAGTACTCAATTTGGGATTCAATGATATTGCAGATGCTGTTTTGGTACATCTGAACGATGCTTCTTGTCCTTTGATTATTTTTATTTATGTTTTATACTAAACATGTATAAAGTCGAAGTTTTTGATGTCTATTAAATTAGAAGATTATATGTTTTTGTGCCGCTTGATGCAGGTTTAAATAAACTGGAGAGCTTGAATCAGATTCATGTAGAATTCGGGATAATGGACTAATTAACTTGGCAGGTGATTCTTTTGTTACTTATCTTTTTATTATTATTTAAGTATTTTTTTAAAGCTTTTTACCATTGCAAAAACATAGTTATCGGATAATACTTTTATAACTACATATACAATAATTTTATTATCTTTGTATACGTAAAATATAAAAAAAAAAGTCCTGACATAGTTATTTTATAGAAATATGGCGTGTGGTTCAAAAACGACAAATTAGATAATCGTTAAAAAGAAGCTTTTGTATTGGAGAAGACACTTGAAAATATGTTTTTGATAATAAACGTAGCGGAATAGATACTCTTATTCATATTAAAGATTTTTTTTTGCTAATTATCTGGCATGTAATTTTTTTTTGCTAATTATCTGGCATGTAATTTTTTAGGATCTAACAGTGCACTTTTACACAAGGTGTAAATAAATTTTATTTTTTTCTTTGTTTTCTAACTTAATCTTATTAAATCAATATTATTTATATGATAACATTTCTTTCATGTTTCTTGTAGCCATATGTTGATGGCCTCCGGGTATTTTTTTTTATTTTTTTTTCATTTATCTTTAAAAATGTGGTTGTAAATATGTAAAATAACTTACTAGTTGAGCAATTTTTCATCAGGTTGCTATTAGTGCCATTGGAGATAAGGCCAATGACTTGATCTTGGATATGTATAAATCAGTTGTGTCAACATTTGAGTCATGGAAGTGCAACCAAGTTTGGTGAACAAGGGATTGTTGCTTAAGTGATATTATATCATAGCTTGTTCAAGTCTACTACCTGTGAAAGATCCTTATATGCATGCTGGAACAACAGTGCATACATGCTCTTGGTTCACTTCAACAATGACCTGACTGGTTGACAACCAGCTTTCTATAAGTATATATGCTTTATTTGTTCCTAAATTGTAGTTTATCATTTCATTTGTTAGTGTATGTTTAGACAAGTATGTTGCTACTTCTTTTGTTATCTTAAGGACTTCATAGGAACATGACCTAATATATGGGTATTTGGTCCCCATTAACTCCCAACTTTTAACAAATTTGTGTTGCATAACTTATTAGGTCATATTACATAGCTTATTAAATACAAACACTTGATATATTGTCTGATAACTGTATTCATGATGACAGAGATGGGATACATTTTACAGCAGCTGCGAGTGGAACAGTGGCAATTGAGATCTAAAACTTGATGAGAGTGAAGATGAGAAACAGAAGCAGGATGGTCAGTAGAAGGAGTTTGAGGGGAAGAAGCTTGTTTCTGCAACCAAAGAAGGTCTAAAATTTGTATATGTTGTATATCTTGAGGTGAGTAGTCTCTTAATTCCTTATCTTTTTTCATTGTTCTTTTCTTTTTTATTAAAATGTATATCTTTTTTTAGGTTCTGTATGTGTACAGTGATTTAATGTTGCATATCTGGATAAAGTGTTGCATATATAAACTACTTTTTATTCCTGGACTGAATAAACCTTCTAAATGAAACTAAATAATCATATATATTACCCTTACATTCCAACAAACAATTTTCAGTATTCATCCATTTTATTTCTCATTTATTACTAAGTTAGGGTATATGGTTTTAGTTGAAAGGTGAAGATGAACAAAGGTTTGTCTCTTTTTATTTCTCATTTATTACTAAGTTTAGAAAATAAATGGAGACTAAATAAATGTCATAATTTTTGTTTATAGCTCCTTCTCTTCAGTTTGCTTCTTGCTTCCAATCTATGTCAGATAAAAATGGAGATTGATGGATGTCGGTTAATAGCCTCTTCTGGAGCGTATAAAGCAGTAAGTTATTAATCTTTTTTAAATAAATAAATGCTCCTCAATTTGCAAAATGAAAGGGAATAAAAGTAAATAAATGTTGATATTTTTAATTTGAAGGTGGTGGAGTGTCTAATTAGGTTGGTTGAAACCTGATGACATTTCCTTTTATATAACTATTTAAACAATTTTTTATAAGGCACAAATATACAATCATATAACTTTCTACTTTATATAATGTCTAATCATTTTTTTTTTTTTTTTTTTTTTTTTTTTTTTTCAGTCAACTGTTAACTTATAAGTAATTGGAGGTAAGGAAAAATTATAACCACGGCTCATTTGCAAATTATCAAATTTTGATTTATTAATACACAGGTAAATGAGGTGAAAGGAGAGGATGTTTGATAAAGAATTCTGTTACTCTATCTGGTTCGTTATTCACCTTGCATGTATCCCAAATATGTATTGAGCTGCCAACTCTCACTGATAAAGATAAGGAGCTGAAGTTTGTCTTTTGTGATTCCATTAGATGTTTCTTATCATATACTCATTTAAGTTGTAAGTTTTATGGAAAATTGTAGGTTATTAGCACATGGGGAGTGCGTAACAAGATTTTTGCAAAGATAGAAAATTTTGAGGTCGGATGCTCACATTTTTCAAGTTGTATGTAATCAAATTGTCTCTTATGTCACATTGGAGAGATTACTTTAATGTCACATTGAAATTTCATCGAATAGCATAGCGATAAATAGAAAAAATAACAATGTACTTTCATCTATTATTTGTATGACATTAAATATTATGCAATGGATTTTATTTTTTTGTATATGGTATTTTAATTTTTATTATGACACATTAAATACAAATTTAATTTGAAAACTAGTAAATCTATAAATAATATATTTTTTAAACATTTAAAATTATGATACGCAAAAATGTGTGTCGTCTTCATTTATGACATGGCCTTTCTTGACATGGGCTTTCTTGATACGCATTGCGTGTCATTAACATGCGCGTCGTAAGGTTACGACACACAAATGCATGACATCTTCCTTTATGACAGGGCCTTCCTTGATACGCATTGCGTGTCGTAAACGCGTGTCGTAATTGCACGTCGTAAATGCGCGTCGTCTCTCTTTATGACAGGGCCTTCCTCGACGCGCATTTGCGCGTCGTCTGAGCCTTTAACGACGCGCAATGAGCGTCGTAAAAGGCTGTTTTTCTAGTAGTGTACATTGTATTTCACAATTTCATTCATTATAAAACACGATTTCAAAACATGTATGTTACAATGTATCACTAATGGGACCATGAGATCAAGCTCCATCCGATCCTACCAATCCAACAAAATCATGAATACCGAATATATTCATACTCATTTACCATCTATTTCTTCACTTTTTTGAACCATAAAGGACCATAAGAGTAAGGTAAAAAATGTAGATTTTTTCCCTTTATCCACTCAAGAAACTAGTCACGCCCCAAAATCAAAGGAAAACTCAAGAAAAGAATGAGAAAGCAACTCAAATCAAACGAAAGATCGAGAAGCAACCATCAAGATTGAAGATATTGAACATAAAAAGGTTAGATTGTGCTTTTTCATCTATTCACCGATTCCACATAATCAGTTGTACATAAATTACCATGATGAATACATTAGACTAGTGGTTGGTAGATGTTGGTGCAAGACATTACCAATTATTATTTTAAAATATATTATATAATATTTGTCATCGATGCTTGAATTTCGTATAACTTCTTAAGAGTCAAATGATGGATGAAGATAGAATGGACTAATTGGCTTCATAATCCTATTAGTGCTTGTAAGATGTTGTAATGTCTCTCTTTTTCTAGCTTCTAGCTAGTTTTAATAAAAATCCCGCCGTTCAAAAAAAAAAATGATGGATGAAGATGTATTTTTCATGTTTTAAATACTACAAATATGTAATTTTTTTTTTGTAAGATTTTAGGAATCAAATTTTATCTTCGATCTTGTAAAACCGAAGATGTTCCTACCATAAAATTCAGATCATAATTATCTTCCTTAAAAATACTATCAATTCTACATTAATGTATAAATACCCATGGATCCATCTTCTCCAACCTTTCATCAAATGCAAAGCAACATCACAAGTTATTTCACTTGATAAGCTCTACAACTTTAATTCCCATGAATCCCACTTTTCCAACTTTCATTAAATTCTATCACTTTTAAATCAATTTCTTTGAAATTCCGCCACTCTCTAAGATAGATATTGAGAGAAAAAAAATACAAACATTCAATGCACCCACTCCTTTGAAATTCTATCACTTTTAAATCACTTTCTTTGAAATTCGGGCTTATATTTGGCCACCTTACGCGAATACTCGTGGCTCTTTTTGAACCTTTCACATAAGTACTTAATACCGACAATTTGGTACTTTTGCAACATGCATAGTGTAATAAAAAAATGACTTCCAAATAAACTACATAGATAGAATACGAACTAAAACTATATTATGGACTAAGAACAAAGAACGCATGCTAATTCTCATCGGACATGTAATGAATGAATGCTTCATAATTTCCTCAGCATATAGAGTATATGGTTTTATGTTCTCTTGTATGTGCTTTTGCATTGCGTAATGCCTAATGAGAATATGAGATAAATGGGTTCCTTTTGACACTGACGACAATTGTATCCCAATGATGAGTTATTTTCCATTGCATAAACTTCACTGATGGTGATTATGTCGCTTAGACTTTTTCTTTGAAAATTTTATAACAAAACTAACAATGAGTTTAAAAATTGGGTTTTGAAACTACTCAACCCAACGAACATTAAAATAAATTAAGAAAAACAACTATACTGTCAAAGAACAAATCTTTAATAGGAGGTGTATCTCTAAATAAAACTCCGTTTCTAAATCTCAACCTGGTGCAACATATATAAAAGTTGGTGGTGAAAGGAAGAGCCAAATTTTTATTTCATTTTTCTTATTACTAAAACCAACTTATATTAAGAGAGTAAGTTGGAAGTGTGAAAGAGGAAACAACTATTTATAATAGAAAATCTTCACAACTTTTTTTTATAGAAAATCTTTACAACTTTTTTTATGGAGCCTGTGTGTGTGATAGTTTCATACCAGAAAATATGATATGCTTTTGATTGTCTACGGTTTAGATTTTTTTCTTTCATTTTTTTTGTTAAACACATCAAGATGGATCTTCCAAAATTTTTAAGATAGGTCTTAAATAAATTTTAAATATAACTTATTGTAAAATTTTAAAATTTAGGTGGATCAAAGGACCAACCTTAACATTACCTAGCCTCGTCCCTGATTACTCCCATCTCCAACTATTTTTCGAAAACAAAAGTGGACAATAATACCTTGATCATACGTCTTGTTTAACTAGCTGAAATTATGTGTTGTTTTTGTATATGATAAAAAAATCTATATATAAGATTACAAAGAGAACTTCGTCTTATCTTGAATATTTTTTAAGCGTTAAATATAATGGGTTAATAGGCTTTGAAACCGTAGATCGATTATGAAATTGCAACATATTTGATGATCTGGTGAGTATGCCATATCTATGGTTTCGTTGACTAATTTTAAATAAACATTAATTTTTTGCTAAATCATTACAGAAAATCGACTATTTTAGTAAATTTAAAGAAATTAAGAAAAATTACCAAAATTTATTTTAGTTAATAACAATGTTAAGGACGTATGTGTGTGTTATTTTAATATTTCCGTTAGTAATTAATCAGTTACCAAGTTTCTATAACAGTAATAACAATATAATATCCTCTACACTGGTGCGGTGCTACTGTGAATTTATCAAGTCTACCGGAAGAATTAGAAACCATGAGCCTGGTGCCGTTCCCAAGCGGCGGAGATGATAACCGGAGCAGTACAAACTCCGCCAAAACTCCGCCGCTGTCACGCGATTCCCTAGCAATTAATTCGCCCTCCTCCCCTATTCCCCGAGGTATATGCTACTGTAATACATTTACCAACCAAGTCTCACTTATTTCACTCCAATTTCCCTGTTTTTGAATCATTTAGACGATTTTTGCTCATAAACTGCATGCTTTAAGACTTTAAGCTCCAAAACCCCCCTTCTCTCATTTTTAGGTTTTACTATAAATAACTTGTTACTGTGTTTTCATTTACTTATTTTTTTTGGTATCGATTTTCTCCCGGAGTAAGATCCGGTCAAGTTAACAGCGAGATCATGCTTGTACGAGCTATGTGCGAAAAGTCGCTGGAAACGTCCGGTTTTCACTTGTTGCAACGAAAATGGTCCGACTAATCTCCGATCGTAAGTTCATACACTCTAATTGTTATTCCATTACAGAAAGGATCAAAATTCGGAACACAATCATCAACTTCCAATTTCTAGTTCACTTAACACATTCATATATTTTGATTTGAATAAACTGTTTTCAATTCCATGTTAACCCTAGAGATGATGTACATGAAACAGGTTCACCTACAAGGCAGTTGTTGAGATGAAAGAAGAAGACTCAAAGTCATGGATACTGGTGGAGTGTATTGGAAAGCCTCAATTCAACAAGAAAAATGCAGCAGATTCAGCTGCTGAAGGAGTTTTATGGTACCTTGTGCATCTAGGTTACCCCAAAAAAGCATGATTCGCTCAAGAAATTAAGGTGATTTGTAGTTTAGGTTAGATAATTTCCACTATCTTGCTGTTTATTTATTCCAAAATCATATTTATCTAGTAATGTGCATCTATGTGAAATCCATACATCATCCAACCTTATGCTATCATGATATACACATTGAAGAATGAACGCATAGAGATAGAGAGACAAAGTAAACAGTAACATAGATTTCTACAAGGAAAACCGAGTTGAAAATACAATGATTTTAGCAAGGAAATATGAAAAATCATGCCTACAAAGGCTTCTTTTAGACCCATTTTTATTAATATCTTTTATTCCAACATCTCTTTCATGAAAAAACAACGTTCCTATACCCTTATTTCTCTTTGCCAAAATCTTTCCTCATGTGAGAAAGAACTAAAGCTATTTCCACCTTCACCCTCTAATGTTGTTGAATAGTGTCTATGTCAAGACCTTTCAGCTTCACTACTGATTCCACATTCCCCTTTAGTGTATGAAGCTCCCTTAGTCTACAAACAAAAATGAATATTATTAATACACAAGAAAATATGGTTTTTTTTTTTTTTGTAGTGTGAAACTTAAGTTAAACCCTAACCTTGTGTGTAGACTGTAGGGTGATTAGGTTGACTTCACCTAGCCACGTCAGCCCTGAAGGCATCTTTATCGCTAAAAGGCCCTGATTGCTCTGGCTGTTGGAGCCCGTGTAAAGTCCGTTGGGCCACGGCCCATTGGGCTTCCCTTTCTCCTTTACCATAGTCCTTTTTGGTTGTGAAAGCGGTCTAGTTTCTCATGAAAAGTCATTCAATCAATCAACTTATAGAGTTAATTAGCACTTAAACGTAAATTTGAACATTTTTTTTACCTTGTTTTGGAGCATATGGTTCCATGCTTTTCCACTCAATGAAAAGCGGATGATAAATTTGAACAAGTCTAGAGGGAAATAGAAGATGATACTGTAAAGCCAAATCACACCAGCCCATCCCCAACCTATTCCATGGATTTTTGCAAAATCCCAGTTTGCGTACACAGCAATAAGTGTAGCAATCTTCAATTTCATTAAACAGTTATTAATTATTACGTTACAAATACAATAATCATTTTATAAAGTTCTAGAAACATATGAAAGCTTACCAACTGTGCTATGAAAAAGGCTGTCAAAAGTAGAAGACCAGGGCGTTCAGCGTATGACCAACTTCTTGACCTTGTCACAAAAATAAGTGCTTGACTAACAATGCTAACTTGAAGATAAAGAGCTGCTGTAAGCTCATAATCATTGTCTTTGATTGAATGAACACCAAATTTCTCCTGAAAAATAAACATAATGTCATTAATTAGGCGCAAATTACTAAAGAAGCGAGAATATAAATGCGTTGTGAGATAGAAGTAAGGAAGTAATATCTTACGGAGAAAAAGTCGGATTCTTGAGCCAACCAAAAGAAGATTACAGTCATGACAGCTAAATAAGTACCGTAAACAACTCCGGTAATAAAAATTTCTTTCAATTTCCATGAATCGGGCATAGGTGAAGGCTTGACTTTATCCTTTGATATGGTCATGATGGTTCCATCATTAAGAATGGCAATGATGAGAACCATGAAAGGCGAGAAGTCAAACTTCCAAATAAGAGCAATTAGCATGAAACCAAGAACAACACGAATGGTGATCGAGACAGCGTAGATGGTGTAGTTTTTCATTCTTTGAAAAATGGCTCGGCTAGTAAGGACCGCACTCACAATCACACTTAGTCCTGGTTCAGTCAGGACTATGTCTGATGCACCGCGGGCCGCGTCGGTTGCATCTGCAACCGCTATTCCTATGTCGGCCCGCTTTAGTGCTGGTGCATCGTTCACACCGTCTCCCGTCATCCCTACAATATGGTTTCTTTCCTGTAGCTTCCTAACAATTTCGTACTTGTGCTCTGCGTTCAACCCATTTTTTAGAGTAAGTTATTATGTATAAATACGGTTAGTTATAACTTATAAGTTATAACTAGAACCAAGTGAAGCTAAAACAACCTCTAAATGGTTAAGAGAAGGTAGGGTCCCTTAACCGTTTAGAGGTTGTATGCTTACATATTCAGATGTGACTTCATATCTGAATGTGTGAATGTGTCTTTACCAGGGAAGACTCCAGCAAAGCCATCGGCTTTCTCGATTAGCTCTTCAATAGGGATGTTAGCAATAGCCGAATCTTTGTTTTGACCAAGGAGTGAGGAAGAGGGGTACATGTTTGTCCCCATTCCAAGCCTCCTACCGGTTTCTTTCCCGATTGCCAGCTGGTCACCGGTGATCATTTTCACGTTGACACCAAGGTGGAGGGCCCGCCGGATGGTTTCGGCACTGTCGTGCCTTGGTGGATCAAAGAGAGGGAGGAGACCAACAAACACCCACGGGCCTCCGGAACTCTCTTTGGATTTTTCGGGCACCGTCTGCATACAATTAACCACCAAAAACACTTCAAAATCACCCATTTCTAAGACTAGCATTGGGAATCGTCTGTTACCTAGAAATACAAAAACTCACCTGTGTACAAACAGCTAGAGAACGAAGCCCACGTTCAGCAAACTTATCAATGATGTTGAAAACTCTGTTTCTAGGTTCATCCTTTAAGTTGCAAAGCTCCACAATCTTTGAAAAATAGCAAGCTACTATTTTAGTAAAGGAACAAAAGAGAATTTGTTTTTATTTTTTTATGTTCAATTAATTATATATTTATTATATATACCTGTTCAGGTGCACCTTTACTGACTCTATGCCAGTTTCCACTTTGATCGATATACGTCATTGCTGTCCTTTTGTCCACAGGATTAAATGGCAAAAAATGTACCTCAGTCACCCCTGCTCTTGCCTACATCAACAAAACCATAACTCTATTAGGTAAAACATTATCATTTATTATATTAATTTGATAATTTCTATACAATATAATAATCAATTACCTCTTTAGGATTACCAAGCATTCCCACAATACAAGCATCAATTGCATCTTGATTCTCCACTCTTGAAGCCCTTGCACCCATTAAAACTACCGTGTCTTTATCCATATCCTTTACGAAAACCTCAATAAGAGTTTTATCAACTGTTAGCTTGTTAAGTGTTAGTGTTCCAGTTTTGTCACTACACAAAATATCCATCCCCGCCATTTCTTCAATGGCTGTCATTCTTTTCGTTATAGCTCCTTGTTGTGATAGCTTGTGGGACCCAATAGCCATTGTCACCGACAACACTGTCGGCATTGCAATTGGGATTCCACCAATCAATAGAACCAATAGATTGTCAATTCCATTCCTGTAGGTTCGTTTCTGAATTGGGTACATTATCACTATTTCTATCACCAGTCCAACCGCAATCGAACAAATACAAAAGTTTCCAATCGCCGTCAACACCTAACCCAAAAAAAAAAAAAATCATCACAATCGTTGTAGATATAGCACATCTCTTTGGAGATTAGTCTATGTGATTGTAATCATTTCTCATATAATAAATTCGGTCTTCTTTGGTTTTTTGCTCTTTTAAAACTATATTGTGTTTTTAACCTACCGGTTTTGGAGTTTCCACGTATATTCTTGTGTCCAATTTTCTCTCTTATCTATCATCAAACTAATTTACCTTTTGGAAATGGCCAACTTGATTTGTGCTATCGACTAAGTGAGCAGCTTTACCAAAGAACGTGTGCACCCCAGTAGCAATCACAACCGCTTCAATCTCACCCTGTTTACACGTGGAACCGGAAAACACACTGTCCCCAGGCTTCTTAGTAACCGGCAAGGATTCACCGGTCAACGCCGCCTGGTCAATTTTTAACGGGTCACCTTCTAGAAGACGCGCGTCAGCTGGGACAATATCTCCGAGCTTGATGCTAATAATGTCTCCAGGGACAAGATCCGCCGCTTCCTCTTCTGACCATTTTCCATCACGTAGAAGCTTCGTTTTTGGAGCAAGACCCGCCATTAACGCCGCTGCTGCGTTCCCTGCGTTGTTTTCTTCTATGAAACTTATGGTTGAGTTTATAAATAGCAGTGTTGTGATTCCAACAAAATCTTGCCAGTCTGGTGGCTTCCCCTGCACCATCCATATTTCACCATCAACATACATATATACATACACATACATACATACATACATACATATACATATAACACATACCCCTCCATTAGCCAAGACAATTGCCATGATGGCTGCAGCCTCCATGACCCATGAGAGAGGATTCCACATGAATCCAAGGAACTTGAGGAGCTTGTTTTCCTGTATTAATGTTGTAAATTATATATATATATATATATATATATATATATATATATATATATATATATTGATTATTAAAAGTACTTAATATCGAAACATGTGAAAGTTTAAGCAACATCAACATGGTGCAATGTTTGGAGAAAGATGGTGTAAAATAGACTGATTTATATTGTGTGGTTTTAAATTTGGGTAATGAAATTACCTTTTTCTCCTCCAATTTATTTGGACCAAAAATGCCAAGCCTTCGTCTTCCTTCATCACCGGTTAATCCCTGTTTCGTGCATTTCAATTGGTCGAACAGCTCATCCATCGGCATATGCTCCTGTGATAATAATAATAAAAAAAACGTCATTGGTGATTGGTTTTGGATATTTGTTTTCGCAAAAAAAAAAAGAATAGAGGTGAAGGGTAGAAAGGTCATTAGTACAAGATCAACAGTCTCCTTCATGATGTCATCCCAGGTGATGCCACCGTCTGCCATTGTTGAGTCTCAAGAAGCTCTGGGAAAGCTTGTAGGGGCAAATAGTAGGTTATGTGAATATAAGAAAAAGTATATGTGTGATATACAGAAAACAGAGGTCAGAATAGAGAAAGAAGTTAAAAGAGCAATTCACGTAGTAGTAATCGTTATCACAACTTACATTCAAATATGTATATATATATATGTGTGTATGTACATTACACTTGTTTACTTTTTCAAACTAGTGGATGCGATTTAGAGAAGACCCATTAGGTTAGGAGTCTACATTTACGCCTCTGTTATTACTTTAACCATACAATTACACAAACTTACTTACTATCGCATCTTCACTAGTTTTTTTCTTTTTCTTTAATTAGTTTCCGTGTTTTTCTACATTATATTCGTTTCATGTCTTTATAGAAAACATAATTTGTTACGTTATTTTGTTATTCTAGGGCCAATGCATGTTATTACATGCGAACTTACTTTCTTTCATGTAAAATGGTAAGGGAAGAGAAGAAAAGAATTTACATAAATGATATGATTGCTACGTTAAATTCTAAATATATACAAAATGCAAGTTGCGGTTTGTGAGTAACTATTACTGTAGCTAATTATACATATTGTTATGCTCAGTGTATTATAATATGTTAATATGTGAAGTTTAAGTTTAATCCTTCAAACTTTATATAATTTAATCACTTGCAGCCCTTTTGTTTGTAAAATGATATTTTTCCTCCTTTTATTTTTTTAAATTATCATTTTCACCCTTCCACCTTCAACTTTGTGAAATATAAACTCTTATACATAATGTTATGCACAATGTACAATATGAACTTTAATCACTTAACTTTATATAATCCTTCACTTCAACCACTTTATTTTGTAAAATTGTATTTTCCTCCATTTTTTTTTGTAAGATATCACTTTCACAACCTCCACGTTCAACATTGTAAGATATCATTTTTACCTTTTATTTTTTCTAGACTTCTGGGCTTATTCTCTGTCCCTTTAGTTGAAAAGCTAGTTGATATTTGAAAAGCTAGCTGTTAAGTAAAAAGCTAGCCGAGCTGAAAAACTAACTGATAAAAATTAACGTTTGGTAAAACTAGCTGAAATATATAAAATTACATAAAATGATATTTAAGAGTATTTGTTTCTATAATTAATTAAGGGGTATATTTGGAAATTTAAAAAAAAACCCTTGTAAAAAGCTAGTCTAAGTAGCTTTTCAAAAAGTTAGCTTATAAGCTACTTTTTGGTTTGCTAAGGTTGTGCTTGGCGTGCCACAGTTAGCTGATAAGCTAGCTTATTTTTCGAGATTTTTTATGTTGTGTTTGGCAAACAAAAAAATATCTTATAAACTAGTGTTTTGAAAAGCTACTTAGACTAGCTTTTTATGAATTTTTTTTTTTTTTTTTTTTTTTTTAATTTTCAAATATACCTCTTAATTAATTATAGAAAAAAATACTCTTAAATGTCTTTTTACGTAATTTTATATATTTCAGCTAGCTTTTCAACTATTTTTACCAAACATTATTTTTTATCAGTTAGCTTTTCAGCTATCAACTAGTTTTTTATTTAACAATTAGTTTTTCAGCTATCAGCTAGGTTTTCAGCTAGTACGCCAAACATATCTTAAACATGACAACATAAAAAAGCTTGAAAAATAAGCTAGCTGTGGCGTGTAGGGCTGTCAAATCGGGCAGTCGTTTCGTGTTTTTGTCTGACACGACACGACACGACAAGGTTTTGGATGACACGAACACGACACGACACGATGTCGTGTTTTTTTTCATTAACACGAAAACGAACCAATTAAAACACGACAACACGACACGACACGACAAAGATAATATTACATAACTATTAGTGTATTTCATTCATAGTTAAAGATATATAACACGACAAAAACGACAAACACGAAAAACACGCAAACCATATGCTTAGTCGTGTCAATTTCGTGTCGATTTATGAACACGACACAACGCGCCATCGTGTTTTTTAATTTTGACACAAACACGAATTCAAATTTTGATTTCGTCCCGATTTCGTTTCGTTTCGTGTATTTTTGTCGTGTCGTATCATAAATTGACACCCCTAGTAGCGTGCCAAACACAGCCATAATATGATTTTTACTCTACATTAAACATGCATCTTCTACCCTTCTATTTTTTAAATGTTACTATGATCTCCTAAAATTTGAACTTTGTAAAATTCCACTTGTTTAATCAATTCTCATTCCCAATATACGCAATAAAAACACGTAAAAAGCCGCGGCAACACGGACCCAACTACCAGTAATTAACATTTAATAAAGTAGTAATTAACATTTAATAAAGTAGTGTAAAGTGATAGGGTTATAAATGGTTAAAAAGAGAATATTGCTTGAACTATTTTCATATTTTGCAATTTTTTGAGCTAACAACTAACCCATTGTAATCTACAATTTATCGGTAAACCAAACAAATAAGACACTAAGGTGTTGTTTGTTTTTCTATAAAAATCTCTTCAAACCACTTATTGCTGCGCGGTGCAGCACACGCGCAACATTTTCTCTCTCCAGCAGTTTGTTTTTTGGAAGACTTCAGACTACAAAACCTTTGCGCGTGTGCTGCGTGGCGCAACACTTGACTTGCCTCTTCTAACCTCTTCACCTTTCATTTTTTCTAAGTGTTTTTTTAAGAATTTTTGTATAACTTTTTTTTTTTAAAAATTTGATTTTCTTAAATTTTTATTTACGGATGTGATACAATTTATTTTTATAATTTCCACGATTTTTTTAATTTGTTTTTTATAATTTTTTTTACTGTTTTATTAATAATATTTTCAATTTCAGTTACATTTTTTTAACGTGTGTAATTTTTTATGAACTTAATAGACAATGTTTGCAATACTTTTTTGATTTTTTTATTATTTTCATTTTTAATGTTTTTTAAAATTAGTTTTCTTTTCTAGAATAAAACTATTAACTTCTTTTACATTTTTTTATGTTTTTTTTTAAAAGTTTTATATTTTTGTTTTTTACATGTTCTTGTTATTACTATTTTAATGATTTAAGACTAGAATTATTAAATTTCAATGTTGAGAATTATTTTCAGTTTATAAAATTAGTTTATTTAAATTTTAGTTTATTGCAGCAGTCTGCAGATGTTAAAAAACAAACATGCTTTTAATTATAAGCTGCAGCCATTTGTTCCACCTCTTCTGCTACAGAGGATTGCATAGGTGGTCTGCAGACTTCATGAATTTTCGTTTCGAAAAAACAACCAGCATCTAATAGTTACTAATCCTTTTTGTTAATAAAGTCAATTTTGTTTTGTGTCCCTAGACAATCGTCAATTGTTTAGAAGCACTTTGAAATCAGTTAGTTAGTTTTTTTTTTTTTTTTTTTTTTTTTTTTTTTTTTTTTTTTTTTTTGTGGGTGGTGAGTTGGGTAATTGAAAGTGGAAGAAGGTTATGTCAAGTAAAGAAGAGGAAGGTCTTGGAGTGGAGAGTTTGTACGCTCTTAATAGACCTCTATTGTATCAAACATGTCAAATGTGATTTTCATTTAGAGCTCACATCATTCACAAAAAAAAAAAAAAAGTAGCAAAATGTCCTACTCGTTCAGACATGGAGTTCAACACAATTGATTTTGGTTAACCAGATGATCTCTAAATAACCCAAAGAAACATTTTTACCGGTAGCATGTTACATGGGAAATGAAGGATTTGAAAAAATGAAGTTCTTTTGCCAACGTTCTCAATTTTTTTAATTGAAAAATGAACCCCTCAAACAAAATAGATTAGTTTGTCCTAATTTAATTTTAATCAGGATTCTTGAACATGATGACAAACGTGAGGAAGAAGATGATAAATAGAAATATAATGGGCATTTAGAAAAAGTTAATAGATAAGCAGTTAACTTAGACGAAGTATGGACCAAAAATGTGACACAAATAGTTCTTAGGGGATGTAGGCTAAAATTGAAAAACTAATCTGATTCAAAATAACAAACTATCCACAAGGACCATTTTTGTTGTTGTCTTAAAAATTTTAATAGAAATATGGTTTGCATTTTTTTTACTGAAATATAAAAAATTTTAATATATAGTTTTTATCATTCCTTTCACATCCTTTTGTCCCTGTCGACATTAGGTTCAAGAAAGCAATTTGTAAGCTTCTCATTATAATCGATTTTAGTACTAGTGCCTTTGTTGTTTTCCTGTTTAGATTTTCACTTAAATTTCTTGGGTTCTACTTTATGATTTTTGTGTTTGCCTAGTGTTCATAATATTACAACATGGACCAAAAACATACTAAAAACTCTAATAAGCACCAAAATCTTAAAACCATTTGCTTTTGACCTAAACCCAAAAAGAAAAATATGTTGAACACATGAACCTATTTGTGATTTTGCTGGAACACGGAATTATATTAAACTACCAGCAATGAGCTAATAAAGACCATATTACAAGGACGTAATAGCTAGAGAATGGTTATGAAGTCAACTGTCCTACTCCACCTTACACTTTTTACGTTCGTTACAAATCCAAAAGAAAAACGGAACAATGGTGTAAAAGATAAATGTTTTTCTAGCAATAGTTGTTACAAAGACAAAGCTGTTCCAAAATTTTCACTAGGGGCGAACGCAGGAATAATTTCATAGTAGGGAGTATCACATGAAATTTTAGTAGTATTTTGAAAAAAAATTTCAAATTTTTTTGCACTCTGTTCGGAAAAACCAAACATTATTGGTGCCACTACAGACACCATCGTAAAACCGCCCCTGCACCTACCCAAAAAAGCGGTAGCAATCATTGGATCGAAGCATTTCCGTTCCACCACATTTCAGTTAGAGTTATTCGTCAACTTTAACAGACCGAGTTAGAATTTGGACAATCCAAGCTCCACCATCTACCAATGAGCTTCAAAATATCCATAGTCATAGACTCATAGACATAGGGTATGAAAATAAAAAGATTGACTCACAATCTAGATGTCACCATTGTAATTTGAACCATTGATAGTCTAAATCTATATTTTTATCAACAAGCTTCAAGAGTAAGAATAGAATTAAGGATCACGACCAAATAAGATATTCAATTTGATAGGAACCAAATTATCTTTTAGTTTATAAATTTCACTTGCCTAATGGAATTTATGATGGACAAAATTGTAAAAATGATCTATGTGGTTTGTCAATTTCTTTGGTAAGGTCTAAAAAAAAATTATTAACAAAAAAGTCATTATTTGGTGGTTTTGTTGTGTTTTTTATTCTTACCTCGTTAAGTTTAAAAACATGGCTGTTAACTTTTGGCAAATGATGGATTTACCCTTATGACAATTTCTGCAGTTTTATCTTTTTACCAAACTACATGGACCAATTACGCAATTTTTGTTTTTCATTTTATTGAATTATTGTATATTAATTCTTTTAATTAATTTTTAAATTTTTTTTATTATTGTATTATTTTTTTATTGAATTATTATATATTAATAAATATTATTTTTAAGATATTATTTTATATATTAATAAATATTAATTATTAATTTTTTAATTAATTTTTTGAGTTTCTTATTTATTGCATTAATTA